CGCCTTTGTATCTGTGTGTTCGTACTTTTTGTCATTCACTTTAACTCGAAAATCACAAAATTTAAAAAGCTGGAAGTTCGGGAGCATTTCAGCCCTGAAGCTTGCTTAATTGCCGGGTTGAAATACATGGACAGGCGCACATGAAAAAATATGTACGTACAAACAATACATGCACAGAAACACCATGAATCCTTATAATATGTGTTTTTGCATTTGCTTATAGGCAGAAACTCGAGAAAAGCAGAAAAACCTTATTCATTTTTTTCAAAATTGCTTTTAAAGCAGCCTTTATTTTTGCTTTTCTGCGTAGGTTATGAATGTTTTTCAACTTTTAGCCGTGGATCTGCTTTTTTCAGTACTCCATCAAAAGGAAAACTGCCAGAAAGTTGCTGTTACAAAGACACCACTAGTCTCACTTCAATAAATACTCGTTTTGTTTTTCTTGGAGATAAGAGTTTTGCGTTGAACAAAACCTGATAATTTAAATACTCGGCTTAAAAAAGGGTTGCCGAAAGACCGAAATGGATTACCTCATTAACATACACAACATCCTGTACTGTAGCCGGGAAAGTAGGTTGACATTTGGAAGCCGGCAAAATGGTGAGAAAAATGGTCGCCGATGCACCGTTGTGCTTACCATCCCGAGCAATTATTGCAAACTGGTACTTCCCTTCGAGGCCTAGCAATGGTTCAACGTTGCGCACCGTGCCCTCCCGATCAACTCGTAACAATGACGACAAAGCCGACGACTCACTGTTCATCATCAACGAATATTCCAGCATTGAGTCCTCATCAAAGGCCTAAACTTCACTACGTTTAGTTTCTAATACTTTTTCAGAAATTTGCGTGCTAAAGTTTAGACAAATCGCTCTTTTGTTGTGCAAATTCGAGTGCTTTTTGCGTTAAAATGCTTTTTTTGATAAGCATTTCAAGAGGGAATTCAAATGCAGTGTCCATGAACTTTTGTTTTGTCAAACGGAAATTGTTTTCTGCGATAAAAAAAGATGTCACAATTTTCCTATAGTAAAAATCACTTATTCCTCTTGGCCAGCCTTCCCTACTTCTTCAATAGACTAAAACACAGAACCAGAATACACATAGACATACCTGAGCACTGATAACAAATGTGTTAATTGGACTGTTCTCCATCACTATCGCAGAGTAGGTCTTTTTAGGGAATCGTGGTTCCACGTCATTCTCGTCCAGTACATTAACTGTTACCTGAAATCACTCCGTGAGCATAGCAAGCAAGCTTTTTGTTGCAGTTGTTTTGTGTTAAAAAAAAAAAAAAAACAAAATAGCATGCTGGAGGAAAAGTTCGCTTTCTCATTTAAAAATTTCGTAATTCTACGCCTTTATGCACAACCCGCCTTGCCAAAGTCCTTGATCTCTCACTGCACCGGTTTTCCTCACAAATAATAGGCGACATCTACGACTAATCCCTCAAACCCAACTCTCCTTTTCGGACAAACTTTAATCCCAAATTTAATTCTTTGGGTTTTATTTCAACGGCAAATAGCTGATGAAGTCATAAGTTACTGGAGTTTACCGGCAGTAAGACAAATTGGCCGTCTTGACGCGAAGCATTGATAACAAAGAGATGCACATGCTCGGTTTCGTAATCCAAAGGGGATGTTGTTCTCAGGATACCCTGAAAATCTCGAAGAGAAATGCGTGATAAAGCTGTCTGCGTAAAAAGAAAATACGGAAAATTTGACTAAAAATTGCAAAAATAAAAAATAAGTCAAAACTCAACAAAGCGCAGCCAAAAAGACGTAAAAAAAAGTGCATTAAAAACAGAAAGTTGAAACAAATGGTTTCTAGTGAAGGAGATAGGCTGTTT